GTGTACAGAACATTTTGGCTAGGTTGGCTGTCCAGCAAGCTCTTGGGATCCTTATGCCTCCCATCCACAGTGCTGGGTTTTCCATCCTGTTGCCCCCCCCTTTTTTTTTTACATAGCCACAGCCTGTTCTAATTCAGATCCTCTTGCTTAAAGAACAAGAACTCCTACAGAGTCATCTTCTCAGCCCTTCTTTTTGTACTTTAAATGTAGTTTTTATGTGAATAGTAGTTATTGTTTATAATAAAATTCTTTGGTTGAGACAGGTTCATGTCATGTCATCTGTGATGGCCCTGGACTCCTGAGTTCAAGTGATGCTCTCCCCTCAGCCGCCCGGACAACTGGGGCTGTTAGAGGAATTGTTATAGTGGGAACCTGGGCTAAGCTCACCCACCTATGCTACACACATCAATTAAATAGATGCATAGCAGTAGAAAGCAGAGAAAGGGCATTATTTAATGCGACCATATCAGGAAGAGGAACAAACAAGAAGGCTTAATGACCCCCACCAAGTCCATCCTTTGGGTTCTGACATAAGGCTTAGGTTTAGACGGCAAGAAGTATACATAATTAAGCAGTCCTGGCCAAGGTGTGGTCAACATTGTCTAGGCTTTAGTCTTTCTTGCAAAATGGTCTGACAAGTTATCTTGTAAAGTATCGTTCTGAGAGACAGGTTCCTCCTCTGGCTGGCATCAGGTTTTTAACCTGTTCCTTCCTGTGGGATGGGGAACTTCAGATTCTTGAGATTTATTGTCTCAATACCTGCAGGGAGGGGTACAGGAGTATCTTTAGAATATTTTCATTTCTTCCAGGATTGCACATGCCCTCCTTGTCTACTAGGGGAATTTATTTTCTAAGATACTCAAGACATGTGTGTATTTATACAAAAATTAAGGAACAAACTGGTTTTTTCACGGGGATCCTTGGTGGCTACTTTACTGTTTGATGGTTGTGTCATCTGTGTACCGTGAGATGATGAGACTGGAACATGGGCTACGGATAATGGCTTCCATTGCTGCTGCTGTTGGAGTTACATGCTTTTCACTTATGATGTCACGTACTGACATGGCGTATGGTTCTCTCCAGGAAACTCTATGATACAATGGGTCAATGCTAGGTTGAGTTGCCACAGTGATGCCAAGTGGTGCTGCCTCTTTAATCACATTTCAATCTAAACAAAACCATGTTTGCCTGACTTGGGTTGCTCCCAAGTGTGCCAGCCTTCTATGGAACTTCACCTCAGTCACCATATTGTTTCAGATGACATTAACTAGTGCTTGAATTAATTTCAAGTGTATTTTTCAAGCTGTCTATAAGAAGTTCTGTAGTGTTGTATTATTTTATTAGGTTCTGGCACTGTACAGAATTTATCTTTCCCCAAATTTATGTAATTTGATAGAGAGATTTAATATTTAAGTGTTTCAAATGACACTTCAAATTAAAAAATGCAGCTCAGAGCTTGCTTGAAAACCACCTGCTATATCATATGTTGTAGTGCTTGCAATTTGACTTTCTCTACATTAGAAAGAGAGAATTTGGTGGCTTGAATGAGAATGTTACCTATAGGGTCATGTGTTTGAATACTTGGTCCTTAGCTGGTGGAACTGTTTAGGAAGAATTACAAGGTATGTCCTTATTGGAGGAAGTATGTCATTAGGGGTGAGCTTTCAGGTTTCAAATGTCCATACCATTTCCAGATTCCATCTGTGCCTCTGATGCTCAGTCACTGTTCTATCTCTGACTCTGTCTCTCTCTCTCTCTGTGTGTGTGTATGTGTCTCTGTCTGTCTGTCTGTCTGTCTGTCTGTCTCATGCTTGCATCTCAAGAGTAAGTTCTCAATTACTGCCCAAGCACCATGCCTTCCTGCCTGCTGCTATACTTCCTACCATGATAGTCACAGACTCTAACCCTCTGGGACTGTTAGCCCCAAATGGTTTCTTCAGTAAATGGTCTTGGTCATGATGTTTGAGATATCTCTGTCATACATTTTAACATAGTCTACTAGCCCAAGAATGAGCGAAACAGACACACAGGCCATGGGTCCAAGATTAGTGACCAAATGAATAGCCTATAGAAACAACGTTTAAAACCTGTAATTTATTCTGGTTAATTGTTTCATTCAATTTCCATCTCTTGTGGCAGGGAGGCATGGTGGTAGAAGTCCATGGCTTTAGGGCTGTTCCATGAAGCATCTTATATGATGTCAGGACCAGAATGTAGGATAGGACCCTAAGTTGGACCAGTTGTAACCCTCAGAGAACACATCCATGCCAGCCAACCATCCTGGCCCCACTTCCTAAACATTCCACAACTTCCCATAATAGTACCAGCAGATGGAGACCTGGCTTTTAAAGGCAAGAGCCTGTGGGGGACATTTCACAGTCAAACCTCAACAGGTAACTCAACAGGTAGCCGTAGGCAGAAACAAGCCAGAGCACGCACATTTGTGCAACTGGTAACTCAGTAGAATCTTTGTCTAGCATGCAAGAAAGCCTGGATTTGATCCCAGCAGCACATAAAGTTGGCTATAATGGTGCATACCTGTAACCCAAGCACTTGGGAGGTAGGGACAGGAGGCCAGATATTCAAGGACACACTCAGCTACAGAGCCAGTTCAAGGCCAGCCTGGGATATAGGAGATCCTGCTTCCAAAAAACTAGAAAACCCAGAATACCTTAGAAAGGAACATCATCCTGCAAATGAAATAGTATGCAGGAGCATCCTGCAGTGGGGTGGCCCTTGGACAACCTGGTCCTGATTGTTGCATCTCCAACCATCCTCGCACTTCCTGCAGGCTCCGGATTGGCACCCACTATGGATGCTGTTCGTTGAATTGATGGATCATTTAATTTTTCACTAATTGTGCCAACAAGGAAATAGAGCATCTACTCCCTCGTAGCTCTTGCTCACAATGCACCAAAACATAGCAGAGCATGGGAAATGAATGTCACACAGCAGAAGACCCTTCCCTGACCCGGCTCTATTCTGTAGTCTAATGTCATAAGCCAGTTTTGAAGAAGCCATTCTCAAGCCTCCTGGTAAATATATCTTCCTTTAACTATGTGTGAAATAGATTTAGAATATTCAAAAGGCCCAAATATTCTCAGAATTAGAGAACAAGGCAATGCTGCCATGTCCCTTTCCCGCCAAAGGGATGACTATAACACATAGGTTTTATCTGAAAGTGATTTTAGTATTTTTGTTGTTGTTTAGACACAAGATGATCTCATAAAGATTTAGAATTTCTGAGGACATATTTTTAGTTTTTAAGATTTATTTTTATTTGTATAGATGTATGAATGTATGTACGTGTGTGTGTGAGCTCTCTGACATGGGTCTTGGAACTGAACTTGGGTCCTCTGGAAGAGCAGCAAGTACCTCTAAACACTGGACCATGTCTCCAGGCCCCAAACATGAAAATCTCCCCAGTATTCCCATAGGCAGAACTACTGTTCAGACATGTTGGTAGCTAGATAGATGGATAGGACACATTCACATATGTAGTATGTAACTATAGTATAATTTTCTTTCATCTCTATATTTCCAATATATTTAATTATTGTTAGAAAAACGATTCATGATATTTTAAATATAACTGTATATCTTATTTTTATCAACAGTATGATATTAAATTATTTATTCATACTAGTGATTGTTTTAATGTAAAAAAAAAATCCCTTTTGGTGAAGACTGATAAGCCTTTGCCTCTTCTACCCACAGAAGCATCATGCATGGATATGAAGGATTCCCCAGATCAACTTGCTGTGTTAAAAGTAAAATACTTGGCAGACTCTGGCCAGCCGTCAGCTTCGTGCTCAGCCTTTTCATTCCAAACCAGAAAGAGTTCACACATGAGCTACCACCGGGAACACAGGCTAGTCTGAGTGGGGAAGCTGTCCTCCTGGGTCACCTGTTCTTTTAAAAAACCACATACCCAAAGTGCATCTAGAGGTGCCTGTTGGGCAAGGGGGGAGCATGTCTGTATTCTAGTGGACATGGCCACAGAACCTCCGAGGAGAACACTGGAAGCAGAGAGTGGACGTGGGAGACTAACTTATATGTGAAAAATCACACAGCCACAAAACTGTTATTTTAAATTAAGCACATAGAATCTATTCTTGCTTTGCAAAGTACATTTCCTTCACATATATTGTAGAAACCCTTGCAACATAGAAGGCAAGCCTATATGAATATAGTGGGTATGGATTTTTAACACTAATTTTAAGGAATGAATATTGCCTCAAATTCATAAGTGTAATTCACTCACTTGAGAGCAGAGTAGGTGGGCATGTGTATGGATGCATAGATTCACTGATGGATACTTGCTGTCTAGACCTCCCGTCCTGGTGAGCCAAGACTCCACCTTCTTGGGCCTCTGGGCTTTTCTCTGTAATAAGCTCTGTCCCTACTAGTTCAGGGACACAAATTTAGTCTCAGAGCTGTTTGCAGACAGACTTTAAAAAGCTGTCCCTGGAATATATTTCTGCCAATAGTTTTGTATGACAAGCCCAGGATGAGAAAATCGCTCTATTCTTAAAATGCAACTGTCAGTGTATTAGGAAGAAGGAAAGCTGACTACCAGAAAGAAAACTGAGCTGTCACACTGTGGGGGCTTTTAGAAGGGCTGTCTTGGGGCACAGCAGACAGTGGGGCTAGTGTGGCACCATAGTGGGCTCCTACCTTTGGCTTCAGATGAGGAAGAATAAAACTGGTTGCTTATTTAAATATTGTATATGATTGTTCCTTTTGGAAAAGTGGAGTCGTTAGTAAGGATTATTCAGGACAGAGGTTATTTAATAAAAGACAGAAGCATGAAGAACAAGTGATGGCTGCTGAGCTGGGTGGCTAGTGCTTAGTTGGTTGGGTGAAAATTGGCATCTTGCAAAGTCTGAGTATATGTTTAAAATTTTAAAAGGTACTTAGCAACCTGGTGCTGTCAGTCACCCATGTAGAGAGCAAGATGCAGGTGAAAGGAGCCCTGTTTTGTGGAGTGCTGGATCTGTGCCTCCCAGTGCTGGCTGTCCAACAGGAGGTGAGACCAGCTCTGCTGAGTCCCAAGCTGGAGGTTTGGCTCCGGACCCAGTGCCTGTGAAGAGTGCCGAGGAGAGGATAATTTATGGTGTGTGCTTTGAGATTCCCTTAAATAGAAAAGAGCAGCCGGTCCCTACTTCCCAGAAGTCTACTGTCTTCCGTGTTTCTTGTTGACTACGTGGAGAAACACAGACCTTTGAAAACTAGCCAGAAGAGCTTTGGGCTCAAAGCATAATGCTCAGATGTGGCTGAGACTCTGTCTCCTCCAGAAGCTTGTTCACTGCTTAGGATGACTATGAGGCTATAGTAACATCAGAAGCAGAGACTGAGTGAATGGCCAACCAATAAATGACCCAACTTGGGACCCATCCCATGTGCAAACAGCAATTCCTAGCATTATTGATGATCCTTTGTTATGCTTGCAGACAGGAGCATGTCCCAGCAGCTGATTCAGACACATACAGACACCCACAACCAAACAGTGGAGGAATGAGAGGAAGGATTGCAGGCCTGAAGGGGATGGAAATTCCACAAGAAGACCAACAGAGTTAGCTGACCTGGACTTTTGGGGCTCTCAGGGTCTGAACTACCAACCACCAACAACCAAGGAGTGTACATGGGCTTGACCTAGGCTTCACTGCTCATGTGTGTCAGATGTGCAGCTTGGTCTTCATGTGGGTCCTGAGCAACTGGAAAGAAGGCTATTCCAGGGGCTGTTGCCTGTGTGTTGGATGTGTTCTACTGGCTGGGCTGCTTTGTTGGGCTTGGGGTAGGGTGGGATGGGTTCCTGACCTCACAGAGACTTGAAATCCCAAAGTGGGGGAATGGCTGGAGGCCCCACCATCTCAGAGAGATAGGAATGGGAGAGAGATTGTGTGTGTGTGTGTGTGTGTGTGTGTGTGTGTGTGTCCTAGAGGGGGACAGTGAGCAGGATGTAAAGTGAATGAGTAAAATAAAATAATAAAATAAAACAAAATCTTCTTATAAACCTCAGGGAACAATTCGCTTTGCAATACAATTTAAATAATTGCATATACGCAATTTTAATTCTAAACAGAGCATTGTATCAAATATTACCTTTGAATAAACTGAAATTGATTAATTCCTCAGTGTATACTAAAGGGATATTTCAAAGGCCAAATGAAGATCTGAAAGCCAAGTATGTGCAGTAGATTAACATCCCTGTGGTGGTTTGCATGTGAACTGTACTCCTACTGGCTCAGGCGTTCACACATTTGGTCCTTAGCTAGTGTCACTGTTTGGCAAGGTGGTAGAAGTTTTAGGAAGTGGAGCCTTGTTGGAAGAAGTGTATTAGGTGCAGACCTCTCTGCTTCTTTATTGTAAAGGTAGTGCAGCCAGCTACTCCATGCTTCCATTGCTATGATTCTCCTTCACAATGGACTATCACCCTTTGAACTGCAATAAGTAAGTAAGTAAGTAAGTAAGTAAGTAAGTAAGTAAGTAAATCTTTCTTTCTTTAAGTTGCTTCTAGTCATCTGATCATAGCATCCAGAAGGGTGACAGATATAGCTCTGGATAGAGGGTGTCTGGGGGCAATCTAATGTGTTAACATGGTCCCTAGAATAGTCCACTGGTTCAGAGGTAACTCTGGTGTTAGATTCAAGTTGAGGGGCTAGGAATATTATTTCTCAGATTGCATCCATATACATACGTTTTTTCATTTTACTTATTTAGTGTGTGTGCTTGTGCATGTGTGCATGTACCTGGACACATGGGAGCACATATGCATATGAGGTCAAAGGACAACTTGCAGGAATCAGTTCTCTACTTCCTCCATGTGGGTTCTAGGAACTAAATTTAGATAGCCTTTCTGGAAAAATATATATATATATATATATTGTGTGTATGTGTATGTATATATTGTTGACCTAGTTATCGTCAACTCTATACAAGCTAGAGTCATCTAGAAAGTAGGACTCTCAGTTGAGAAAATGCCTCCATCAGATTGGCATATGGACAAGTTTGTGGGAGCATTTTCTTCATTAACAATTGATATGGAAAGGCTTTGAGAATAATGGACAATGCCACCCCTAGGCAGGTGGTCCTGGATTGTATGAGGAAGCAAGTTTAGTAAACCATGAGAACAAGCCAATAAACAACAGCAAAGGAGCAGCAGCAGCAGCAGCCACCACCACCACCATTCTTCCCAGGCTCTCTGCTTTGGTTCCTCCCTTCAGGTTCCTGCCTTGAGTTCTTGCTTGAGTTCCCTTCATGATGGACTATGATCCATCATGCCAAATGGCTCCTTTCTTTCCAAGTTTCTTTCAGTTATGGTATTTAATTACAGCAATAGAGAGAAAGCTAAAACGGAAATCTACTTAGGGCTCTACTTTGTTGTCATTTAAAATACACCACACTACTGGTCACCTTAGAAGAAGGACGGAAGCCAGTGGCTCTTAAGCACTCTTTGTGCTCCAGTCTGTGCTGAGAAATTTTACATCTGTTTCTTTTTATATCACAGGGAAGGGGAAGGATGATTCTGGCCCCAACTTACTTGCAAACTGATTCACCATTGACAAGTTGAGTTATTTATTTAAGAAACTAAAGGGGGAAGGGAGAGGTGTGTTGGAAGAGAATTGTGTTTGTTAGGAATGAAATGGTACTTAACATCAGAGATAGAAACGGAGAAAAAGCAAAGTCTGGGCTGAAAGGGAAAGGAGGAGCCATGGCCACATCCGCTCTGAGTAGGTAGAGGACGTGGAGAGGGATTTCCAGAGGTGGCAGTTGAGATGGACCTGAACACTTTCCTGGAGCATACGACCTCTCAGAAGAGAGCCTCAGAAGAAAGGGGCATAGAGGTCAAGGTGATACAGAGTCAAGGGATGAGACCATGGAGCTAGACTAAAACTTACAAGATGAGAGTCTAGAGGTGGGTTTTCTCCAGCTTGGAAGAGCTCTATCATCGACCTTAACTCCAGGGAAGGCATCAGATACATGGTCCTGGCAGTGTGGAACTCCAGTAACCATCTACACACATGCTAAGAAGATGCACTAGAAACAGAGTTCAAGTGTCTCTGAGCTGTACATCATTTGAATCCCAGGAAACTGAAGAGTGCTTCGATTTGTGCTAGGACAAAGCTCTTAGAGAAGAGTAGTTTATACGTAAGGGAGTCCCTTGCATATGTATGTATGTGGGTGTGTGTGTTTATTTGGTGTTTGTGTGTATGTGAATGTATGTATGTATGTGTGTGTGTATGTATGCATGTATGTATGTATATGTGTGTGTGTGTGTATGTATGTATGTGTATATGTGGGTGTATGTGTATTTGTGTAATATGTGTAGGCCTGAAGTAGTTGACAGTAGTTAGGTATCTTCTTTAACTGCTTTTGACTCTCTTTATTTGAGGCAGGATCTGTTCCTGAACCTAAGCACCTTGATTCTGGTAAGTCTATTTAGCCAGCTTGCTTCAGGAGGTCTCTGTCTCTCAATCTCTGTGTCTGTCTGTCTGCCTGTCTGTCTCCATCTCTCTCAGATTAAAGCCAGATGTCCAGTCTTTATGTGGGTCCCGGGGATCTATACTACGGTCCTCATGATTGAAAAGCCAATATTTGCCCACTAAGCCATCGCTTCAGCCCCAAATGCGCTTTCTGAGCACATATCCATCTTGTGTTTGGGGTGCTTTATAGGGTAGAGCACCAGTGCAACCCCATGATGAACCTCTGCCTGAGTTGAATGTATTCACTCAGATTAATCTAGGCATTGGTGTAACAATCCAGGGCTGCCCCAGGGTAGATAGCCTGGGATCGGAGAGGGCTATGTAAGTATACTTTTGGCTACTTTATTGGGTTCTAAGATCTACCACCCTTCTCTATTCCAT